ATTTTATGCTATTTTTAAATTTATATTTCATTTAAAAATAAAAACATTATCGTTTTCTCAAAACCACATAAAATCGTATTATATCGATAGAAACAAAGAATAAAAACTAAACATTAAAATCGAAATTTATCTCACTGTATTATACGAATACCCTTCTAGTTTAAAAAAATACAACCAAAAAAAGCATGTTTTGTTAATTTTTAAAATAAGGACGGAATCCGTAAAAAAATGCAGACACAAGGACGAAAAATGCAGTTGACTCTAAAAATAGTAAATAGAGTCAATTACATCGTAGGTCCCCATAGGACACTTGTTATCTATTAAATGGGGGGTTTTAATTAATAGATATATTGTCCAATTTGTCCCYGAGCTAACAGATCGGATTTAACCAATGTCAGGGACAGGGACACAACTCGTAACAAAATGCAAATTATGGTTATGCTTACCGTACTTATTTTAAAAAGAGGGACGATATCAATTTTCAGAGCAAACTACAAGGAACTACAAGGACCTACAATGTAATTTACTCATAATAACAATTGTACTGCAATGGTACGGACAAGTACTTACTTTGGGGAAAGGATGATGGAATTGGAAGGGCACTCATTGTGCACCAAAGCTTTTCATCCCAAACTCTAACTACATCAAAACTTCTTTTCACGTCACGAAGTGGGTTTTTCATGTCACCAAAAGTGGGGTGCAAAAAAGGGCCGAGTCATTCAAACCGGTGAATCGAGCCGAAACCGATCGAATCGGATATAACTGGTTTACTTTTTAATTCAAGAACTTTATACGATTTAACTACAAACTAGTTAAAACCAATGTGAAAACTTTTATATAATGTGATTTTGKGACTTTGTCCGGCTGTTATTAAAATATACATTTCTATGTGAGGTACGGTAAAGTTCCACATTAGCTTAGACTTGGACTATTTATACTTCAATATATATTAAACCTCATTTCTCTATTCAATGACTCGTTTAGAAAGTAATCTAATCAGGTTCCACATGTTTTCATATAACGAGGGTCTACTTCTAAAACAATTGTGTCTGCAACTCGACAYTATAGGACATCTATGCTCATCTAGCTCCCATTGGAAGAAACGTATTAGAGTCTCACATTGACAAAACTTGAACCTTTTTACTTCAGTACATGTTATAACTCCCCCCTCTCTCTCCTTAAGAATATGTATTTGCCCAAATATTGTACTTTTGACGGTGAAGTGTGGTCAATAGAAGCCATTGCAATCCAACAAAACCCAACCCAGCCATAACCAAGTAAAAACATAACAAGTTTTTTGCAAATCGAAGAAGATACAGAGGGTAAAACGAACATGACTTTGAATGATCAAAAAGTAAAGGAAGGAAAGGCTAAAATCAATATGCAAAAGCAAACAGGTTGAAGTGTGAATGGAAGACAATTTGACCAAAGAAAGCAGATAATGAGGCCATAAAAATCCAGCTCATTTCCAGAACTACTAATTCATTTTTATGAAATTGCRAACAGACATAACTTGATCAATTATGAAAGCTCAAGTTACGTAGCGTGTAGCAACTCACAAATACTCCAACAAAATTCAACAATGACTTGACATCCACTACAACAAACAACAAGATAGCATAGCATCCCCTATCCCCTATAAATTCCAATTGTAACCATACAAATATTCGCTCACCACTCACCATATAAGTCGACCATATCACCACTCTCAAGGGCATTATAGTCTTTTATTTCATATAAACCCCATCCTAGATACAACCAACTTGTAACCAAACAAACCATGTCAAAGAGGGTGAATATATGCAGATCTAACCTTTACCCCAAAGGGTAGATCCGCTGTTTCCATCAAAACAGATGCAACCACCTTGTGTTAGTGTGAGAAAGAATACACACATTGCAAATGGTTCAATTTGGAAGAACTAAGAAACAACAAATAATGTTGTTCCATGAGTTATGAGTGAATCTAATAGTATACCAAACCAAATCAAACCAAATCAAACCAAACCAAACCAACCCAGTACATCTCATTCCAAAGCAGGGTCTCAGAAGGGTGGGATAAACGCATACTTGACCTCTATCCTCAAAGGCTAGAGTGGTTGTTTCTGTGAAGACCCTAAGCTTGTGCAGAAGTGTAAGTGGGAAGAAAAAGTGAATCTAGTAGGATAAGAACTACAATCGTCGTTAATGTGACAGCATATAAAGAGGCTGTAATGGTCAATGTTAGATCYATCCAATGGTAGGATTAGTCGAAATCATTCAGCAGATATGTTCATATAACTACAGAAAACAATACTAATCTCATCTTTTAAAAGAGAGAGATCCCTCATGAGCCACCAATATTTGGCAAAAGTTGAAAGAAATTTATCAAAGGTCAAAAGTCAATGCCACTTGAGATGGAAAGAACTTATCTTGACAATCTTTTTGGTCTTCGCATCTACGCTTTGCTAAGAAACAATTGTAAGTATTTGTAGGGTGCAATTGCAACACTAATCACTTTCGCTACTGTWTCGCGGGTCTGACAACAATAAAAGATGAAGGGATTGTCAGCGGCTAGCACAATAGAATATGAAAGAGGAAGGATATTATCATGGAACAACTGTCTTACTTCTGGATGGTCTTTTCCCTTCCATGGCTTCTCTCTTCTGTTGGCAGCTTWCACAAAGGAAYGGACCATCCCACGGCCKTAACTTTCCCCTAGTATTATCTGATCCATGGTGTATTGAAATGCCTTCTCCAGGTTTCATTTCAACTTGACACACCGCACAAATAAACAACCTGAAAACATTGCAAAGCGGGTATCTGGTATCTAACCTGCAACCAGATGGAAAATATAGCGTGTCATGATAAACCAAACTGAACCCTATATATCCCACTTGAAAGTRGAGTTTGAAGGGTAAGATGTGTGCAGACATGACCTCTACCCCAAAGAGTAGAGCGGYTGTTTTCATTAAAACCCGGGCATGTATAAGTGTGTGAAAGAAAGAAAGTTGGCTCAAAAAGTTTGACGAAATATATAAAAGAAAAGGAAGACCGTGAAAAAGAACTTGAGACAAGAAAGACAGAACTTTAGAAAACTAGTTATGAGTAAGTAGCAATATACAAACAGAAGCACACGAAAAAAACATAGCCAAGGTAAGGAACCCACACAACCTAACCCACACTTAAGGCACCAGCAACCCTTCTGCTTATACATGCTTATAAACTACACTCCCTCCATCCCAAAATAAGTGTCCATGTTTCTATTTTAGTTTGTCCAAAAATAAGCGTTCACTTTCCAATTCTACCCTTAATTATGAAATGGAGAAATTCATTACTCTCTATTATGAAGGKTAAAATTTGTTATTTAGTTAATTACAAAGTGGGAAAATTACATATTCCTAAAACTGTGCCTTTTTTATTGGAGACATTTATTTCACTAGAGGAAGTATTTAGCATTGCAATATAGAAAAAATAAGGATGTTGGAATGTACAAACCGTTCTGAGAGCATAGCAGATCCTTCCTCTACTAGCTCCTCCACCACATCTGGTTCGTAATATTCTTCTTCATCAGCCTGAGGTGGGGCCTCCGAACTCTTTTTCTTGAACATGGCCTTCAGTACTCTCTTACCGGTCTTCTTTGGTGGTGGAACAGGAGGATTTGTCTTTTCTGGAGGTAGTATATCAACGACAATACAGGTTGTATCATCCCGCAATCCTTTGACTTGTACAGCTTCCTGTACATAGGAACTAAAGAAGTAAAATTCGATATTCAGAAGAGGCCGAACATTAATTTATGCWATTTGTATACCATACTTTAACAACTTGTGCTGCTGCTGTTTCTGGTGCCAATCCACGACCGCACTCCAGAGCCGCTTCTGCAGAAAGAGCATCCCAGACACCATCGCTTGAGATAACAAGCCTCCCACCACCAGAGGATAGCTGCAGATCACAAATTCATAGAATATTCAGTCATGGTCACATCTAAAACAAGTATATCACCCTTCAAAGTCAAAACTGGATAGATTTTTGAAGGGAGGCAAAGTTGGCAAACACTCAAATCTGGAAGCAAAACTTTTGAACATGAACTAAACTGCAAATCACAATAATCATTAATGTAGTTTGGCTATTGCTGGAGGTAAATAATAGTGAAGGAAATAATAAACGTTGATGAAGAAGTCCTGATTAGAACCATTTTAGTTATATTAAGGAAATGTTCTCAACATTAATGGACAAGATTCATGTTGATTTTCATAASAGACGTAAAGCAAGATTAAGGTTGTGATATCTGGTTTAAGAATCATAAGAAATATTAGCATGTACTTGTCACAAAAGGGCTACATTTACTCAAAAATTGYATCTTCCAATCAGGAATATAAAGAAAGGAAAAGCATAAGATTGAATACAAAGATAGATTTGACAAAGTACTAGAAGCAGATGATATTTGAACTGAACTGGAAGCATACAACATAAATTGTACAACTGCAAAATCCATCTATAATGGTGATAAAGTWCGAAGAAAACCGATAAATGGAGAAAAAAACTCAGATATCCATAAAACACAAGTAAATCACTTCTAGTTAAATGAAAATCTTCCTTTGATGTAAAACTGGATGGTAGAATAATTTTGAAGTTAGCACAATAATGATAGGCAAAAGCAGAGTAGAGTTGGTGAGTTGGTGGTCAGTGACAAACGAATCTCATTAAGTGAATAGCCATAATGAAAGGTGCATTAGTATAACAAGGTGCACATCAATAAATGATGCCATAGATTTTATTGATACAACTAGCGAACCAGAGCTATTAATTTAATAATGATATGCATATGATCTATATGTTAAATGGGAAGTCAAAAGTGATTCTGTAGGGAATAACTAGATACATAATGATCACATCATTTAATTTCCAGTGGGTGTCAGCTCACAAGAAGGACTACTTAATAAACCATATTGTCATATACACGCACCATCATGAGTAACTAACCTTCACTTGCTTAACATAAGGAACAGGAACAATGAATTCCCCAACATCCCGATCTCCGATAGATCTTGAAAGGCACAAGCCACCAGGCCAACATCTCAAAGGACCAATCTACCATAAAATATATACAAGGGTAAAATCCCGTTTCCATACATGCACAACATTCTATGAACAGAAAATGGTAAAGAAATTAAATAGAAAAATGAATAAAGCAATTTCACCTTGTATAATAGGTTTTGTTATTCTTAATTACTTTCTTCATTCAGTAATTAATATTTCCATCTGAACATGCTGGATATATTTAAGTAGCTTTTTGAAATATTGATACATTGCTAGTGCCAGATGTATAAAAACAGGATAAATAAATATGCAAAAGTTATATGGACCACCTCCGAGGTCCTATTAAAATTGCCACAACAATTCTGCAATCAGGTTAACACGCCTCACTGAATCCATCCTTCCACCCTCTTACATCACCAAAATACAGTAGCTGCTCAGCTGAGCACTAGTATACGGTTACACTAAATGGGATTATCAAACAAAACGGTCACTTAGCTTCGCATCCAAATAGTTGGGTTTTTTTATCTCAAAAGTTCAWCCAGTTATTAATCTTGGCATCCTATCAGTTAGTTCTGACAAAATAGAGTATTTACRGCTATTGCCTAATCACTCAAAGATTCAGTTACCAAATTATCACTAATGTAGAAATTAAAGCCCATGAAATAATGAAGTTGAAGTCCAATAAATACCATAAACAGCATAATGAAAATTTAAATCCAAGACAAGCATAAACATCATAATGGGAAGTTAAAGTCCAAGAACTACGAGAGGGTAATTGGCCCTGGGTACCCGGGTTACCGGTAACGCCCAGCCTCCTTGGAGGTCAAGGGTTCAAACTTCACCAAAAGTCTGGAGTGTGTGCGAGTATTTGTYGTATATAAATACTATATACTTCAAGAAAAAAACCTACTGCAAGTTTATCACATAGATTTAGGAGATTATTGGGAATCTACAAGCACCATTAAATTAGAAGTGAAGTACAATGTTGAGATAACAACCCAAGACATGTACTAAAACTGGAAGCTTCAATATCCWCCCTTAACACTCGGTCTTGGTTTAGCAAAGACATGCACCATGTTTCATAAAACTGGGCCTTGTCATACGCACTGACATAGCAAAAGAAAAAAAGATGAGCACCAAGTGTCATTGTAAGATATAGCACACATGGATGAGCAGGTTACTCTTTCCGGTCTCATGCTTGGGAACAATTACAGGGACGAAGAGAATAAACGAACAAGGACGAAGAGGAGCGTGAAACAAACACAAGAGAGAGAGAGAGAGAATCACACAACTAGTTCGACATCTCCAAATGATCTCATCGAACAATCTTTCTTCCCCCCATCCAGTCAGAAGTAGATAGTTCACACGTAGGGTTACATAGGAGAAATATAGTTAGATATTAAACATAAATCACCTAAACTTTAGACTAACATTAAAATATGTTGTTTCTCTAATTTTTTCTAGAACAAAAACTTCTATAGAAACCAAAGGGTCTTTGGCCTAGCGGTATGTGAGTCTTTGGCCTCCTAGGAGGTCAGGGGTTCAAACCTCACCAAAGGTGAGGAGGGTGTGTGAGTTTATTTGTTCTATTTTCCGTATATAAATATTATATACTTYAAAAAAGAACTTTTATAGAAGTCGAGCTAACTTAACATATTTGCCATTAAATATGGTTTCCTATGTTTGTTGTGTGTATCAACTATCAAGGGACTACACCTTTTATCCCTCTGAACTCTAAGAAGATTACATAGAATCCAATCATGCATGCTTATAGAGCAGAGTAACAGATGTTAAAGATTTGACCATTAACATATCTCTTTTTTGTGTGCAAAAAATAATGGTGCCCAGCCCATGAACTGTAGTTTGAAAAAATGTATTTGATAAGCACCCAAAAGTACATCRATATAGACACAAGTAATCTACCTTCTGTCTTCTAGAATGTATTTGAAATAGAAATATAAGCTACCATGAAATTAGGTTACAAGAGAAACTATTATYGTAACAGTGAAATTATGGACTATAGTGAGATAAACAAAAAATACCTCTGTACCACCACCAGTATTTAGCCGACCAACCTCACCACCACTTGCAGTGACACGCTCCATCCTACCAGCAAGTGAAAATAAATAAAAGGTGAATCATAATATTCTTATAATAATATGCAATCCAAAAATCCACAAAAGGAACACCTCATATGGGATTTGTTAACTTACTCTWCTTTATTGCAGTCAAGTCTGTGATCTGCTGATAGATGATATATTGCCCCATCAGCAGATTCAAGTAYGCAACGGGAATCTCCAACTGATGCTACTGTCACGATTAATCCCTCGATAATTACAAGGGTGACAGTTGTCCCTGACCTTTCAGCTGTAATCATAACAATATGAATGCATATTAGAATATATATGGTACATGTTATATAAGCAAATCTACATAACAGAAAGATAAAAGCTAGAAAAGGAAATGAAAATGAAAATTTGTGTTATATCATCATATGCTTATAATACATCCAATAACATATATGACATGTTAGATTGCAAACGTATAAAATCATCAAGCGTTAACCACCCCTGCTTTTCTATGGGATGTTGTGCTAGGATGCAAGCAAAAAATTGGAGAGTGGATATATTTGATCTCCTCAATTTGAAGCATGCAAGCAAAAAATTGGATCACCATTTTGACCAGGAGGCAGAGAAAGTTAAATGACTGAACAGTAAGCTACTCTAATTTATGGAAGTGCGATTCAACATAATAAGGGAAATTGACAAAAACTGTCTTAATATCATTTTCAAAAGTTTTTGAAGGACAGCGTATACCATATAGACAACAGTGACAAAACTCAGACAATGCATACTTTGAAATTAAAATAACGAAGGAAACAACCTATGGTGGTGTAAGGATGAAAGCAAAAAAGGAACAAGGATGGGCACATGGGAAATGGAGATCTACCAACATGAATACGAAGAGGTATAGATTGTCTTTTATGGTTAACATCAGAAAGGTTAGGTGTTAGGTGTTGCATTGACAACTCAGTACATGAGAGTTGAAGACGTAGTAGTAATACGTAGGGGCTAAACCCCAAACATAATAAGCTCATAGGGGTTCTATGCCATTACCTTTATATCACMAGAGAAATATAAGCATGTATCATTAACATAACTGACAAAAATATGGAAACTATTTTCGCTGCTAATAAGTTACAAAAAGTATACATAAAATATTTCATTCCATATAAAAATCATGGCTARATTAGTAGTTATCAGAATTCATACTAAGAGATTCCTTAATACCAAAAATTAAAAAACTCCAAACAATAAATTTCAACATGCATAAGGCTCTCAACATTAATGGTTCGCAGATGTTTACCACCATTGCTCCTTGAAGTGGAAAGGTCGTTTCCCGTTCCCGGTTAGAATTTGAGTTGCCTAGATCGCAATAAGGCAAGGTTACAATTTCTTATGCATATCTTGGAGACTCGATACTATTTTCCATACATCAATACAAGTATTTACATGTTTCAACATGATTGAGGTTGTGCTTACTAAATTTGCCTATATGTGCATYTTACGCCAAGGTACCAGGACTAGCAAAAACTAACTATAATGAAAGCCTATGATGGACCTACTTTATTATGCTTTAGTYTTGATATACATTACAACACCAATATCTAGTCACAGCTATCCAGCACATGCAATTTCTGAAGAAATTAGGAAATAAACTTGTCTGTACCTTTTTCTTGGAAATCTTTGTCTGTTTTCACAAACCCAGCCACCAAAGCCCTAGGCAACGCTGCCACCCATTCATCACGGTTAAGATCAGGAGGAATAGCACGCAAAACATTGTTTAAAAGGTTCTCCTTAGTATATATAGCTGCTGCAGATCCATTATGGCCATCAAATATCTGCAAAGTGAAGTTGGGTAAGAGCAGCACAAGAAAACACAACTAAAGATGGCTGATAACTTATTTCAAGAACCCTCAGTTACTCCTCCRCATTTTTGTTTATACGTTTCAAATGCAATTCACCAACTACTGTAAAGCAAGAAATGTGAACTAAGGACAAGATAAGAAGAGTAATTGCAATCTTATCAACATCGTCAAAGACAAAGGCRCAAAGTCATTGAAGTCTTATGAAAGCGCTAAAGGGGGTGAGTGGTTGACATAACATACCCCAAAGACAGAATAAGTCGTAACACCATCCCCTAACACGCGTTGGCATTCGCTCTTAACTAATGCGAAGTCTTCCCCTTTCTTGGATTGATTAGCCTGACCACTAACGATCTCCGGCCTCTCAGCCTTCTCATTCGCCAATTCACGCTTCAACAACGCCGACAGCGGAATATGCTCACTCTTATTGCAGGACATTTCCTTGGTCCCTTACAATATYCAGATTTATAAATTCAACCTTCCGACTCCTCCTAATCCTTCATGATACACTCAGTAGAATCCTAAACAAAAAAAACAACAACAATCAAACATCCGGAAACGATTGCGTTACAGATAACCAAAATCAATTCAAATAAGCATCAGATTCAAAAACAAAACACGTTAACCTGAAAATCTACATATAAACAACACTCATATCCATCATTTTAACACAAACTAAACAATAACAGGTGCAATTAAAACCTTAATCGAAGAACAATCCACATTCATGAAAGCGAGAAGAAAGAGAAAAACGAGTTACACAGATATTCCTTGTGAAAGATTCGTGGTTGCAGACAAAGAAACGGGAAAAAGTTGGGATTCGATTCGCTACAAAAATTTCCGCGCGAGAGAAGAGGGATAGCTGTGATTTTGAGATTTTAATTGTTCGAGCGTCTGCTGACGTGTCCACGCACACAAAGCGCGTGCTCTCCCTCACCTGTGTTTATGAGTTGTCTTCGTAGTTCGTAGCTGTTCCTTTTCTTTTCCTGATAAATGCAATGCTTAAATTGTGATATCATACAAAAGAAAATCTATATTCTTCTTCGACTTTATAATTATATTATTAAAATATTTTAAATAAAAATTTAAAATATTATTTTTTTCT